ATATGTAGAATATGTGATCCGAAAACCATCTGCATCACCATGTTTGAGCGAAAAGGTATGTTTATATACTATATTTATTACCTATGTATATCTTTATTTGCCCAAGGCCATCAGCGACTCTTCAGATAGTGACGACGGCTTACCTGAACCTGAAGAAAGCACCGCTTCAAGCTCCAATGAAGATAACTCCCATGACCCCATGAGCAAGCTTGACCATTCATGTTGGGGCAGATAGTTGGTTTCTAGCCCTGTCTGTTGGAGTTGAGTGAGTTTCAGCAAAGGCCATGTGTACCCTCCCCTCACATCTCACTGTCTTATAGACCCATAAGTCATAACCTGCGGGTTTGTACCCATACCTGTACCCACATGAAAACCTGCCAAAAACCCATACCTGTGATGGTGGGTGTGGGTTTTGGCAGGTACAGGTATGGGTAGGTACAAATATACCTGCAGGTTACCCGTGTCAATCACTATAGCCAGTTAACAAGCTCATCCCATTTGAGATCAATGGCAACATGATGATTTGCACTCTCATGGGTGTAAATTAAAGTGTTCTGCCTTGAAAAATGTCAGTGCTCTGAATCTCTCAAAAGCTGTTTGCATACTCACCAACTCATAACATCAGCTGTGACTGGGTCTCGCATTGCAACACACTTCTTGACCTTCATGAGCAAGATATTGAGAGCACCCCTCAAAATATCAGAAAAAGGAAATACTTGGAGGATGCACACAGGATGAATCTATATGGAGGGGTCACAATGTCAGTATTAGATAAGGTTGAAAATAAGAGTAACCTTTTGCATGTGGCTTGCACCAGTGGCCTCAGGCTCTGACCAGAGAGACACAATGATTTGAAGTGTATCTGGAGCATTCTTGAGCTCTGCATCTTGTCTCTTTGCAGCCCTCTCTGCAATGATATGGGAGCTATTTGACAGAATATGGGAGGTGGATGGCCGATTTGCAGTAATATGGGTGCTATTTGATAGGTGGGATAAAGTCTGGGAGGTGGATGGCTGACTTGCAATAACAGGTTGAGAAATATGAAGGTGTGTTGAAGAGGCATTTGCTCAGTGGTCCAATGCTGACTTGATAACTTGAGTAGTCTTCTCTGAGTTTACATTCAGAAGTAGGAGTTGCACAATGCCTCTTAAGGAAAATATCTCATGAGGTATGTCAGAAGACTCTTTTATCCATATCATAAGAATTAGTTAATTTTAGTCTTCCAACATTAAACATGTACATACAGTAGTGCTTCACACATTTGTTACACAAGGGTTCAGTGAGCAACTTGGAGATGAGTCCACATGCAGCACATTGAGGTGTGTTCTGTTTTATTTATCATCATTGGTCACAAATCTGTGAAGTTGACGAGATGAACATACATTCAATATTCGGAGTTCTGCTGATGACAGTCCAGGTTGTTGTTGATGACATTTAGGGCAAGGCATCTCATCATCAGATAGATGAGTGAACTTCTGGATGCAGATTGGGCAAACTGCCATGGGAAAGTTAGATCAAGCAGGAGTGGCTGAAAGCCAAACTAATAGGGTGTTGTTGAGGAGGTCTATGGTCTCCCCATAACAGGTTGTATTCCTTTTATATAGGTATAATGTATCAGTAGAAAAGATGGAAGTCTGGCAGGAGCCTCAGTGTTTGGAATAAGTTACTACTTGTTCTGATGTCCCAATGGCTAGAGTCACATAAACTTTAAGTGACCTATTATCTGCAATCAGTTCCATAATTGCAGAATCAACAAATCAGATCAAATTTAATGCAACATGGGGTTCCAAACACTACTACAGTGACTATAGATCATACAAGACAAGTAAGTAGACTACCAAAAACTTCCCATATATTTTGGAACATCAACAGCTTGACCCCAAGTGAGTCGTAAATTGGTTGAACACGAGCACTATACTCTGGACTAACAAAGTTCAAGAGATCATCACCCCCCATTGTGGTTTTGATCTCCTGGATGACAGAAACATCCACAGGTAGTAATAGATCCTTGCCACCCCATTCATGAGGCAGGCTAAAAGCAATATTGCGAGACATACCATTCGGTCCACTCTTCCCTTTGACCTTACGCGGCCGGAATGAATTCCGTTCATACATAAAATCATTGAGCTTCTGCTGGAGAAGCTTCGGCCACAACCACTGACAAATTTCACTGAAAATACGTCAGAAAGCAGTACAGGCTCAGGTTTTACCAAAACTCACTAGTGGACTGGGTTGTCAGGCTGGTATGGGCCACCGTTCTCGACATGACCATTATGAAAGGCAATAATAGCTGCGTCACCAAATTGGAGGCATAATCGAAGCCAGGAGCGTTCAATTGAGATGTTGTGAATGCTTCGAATATAGGTATGAGCTGGGAGCTCTGTGCTATCATACTCCGGATGGAAGATATCACTACTGTGAAGTGAGTAAGGAGCAGGAAAAAAATAAAGTAATAACTACCGCAGGGCATTTGCGAAGCCAAAGATTAAGGTGGTCTCAGAACCACAGTCAGTAGAAAATTGCAGAGGGATCCCTGGAATCAATGTTAAACAAATAAATCAAATGAATAGCTGGTAATGAACCACCATATTTCTCCACCAAGCAGAGGTATAGGTATGCCACAACATTCGCCATCCTATTACTTGGAACCACCCATGCACCAAGCCACTTGCCCGTCGCATCATCAACAACGGCCCAGATCGGAAAGCCTATTGCATAAAGCTTGTCGTGGCCATCCCCAGCCCAGCATTCATGTACCCCAAGTGGGGCCTTAGGCACTCGTCGAATCTTCTTTGATGTGGGCTCGCGACGTGCAAAACCCTCCGGGAAGTGAAGGTGCATAACCTCACTAACGAACTGGTAAGGGAGGTGAACACCGGCCCGAGCAGAAACTGCATTTTTGACAGTGCGAACGCCTTGTTGGTTTGCAAGGTCCTCATTTATGACGTCGATAACGTGCTGTTCAGCTTCAGCGTGTGGAATGTGCTTCATGACAGCCCAACTTCCAAGGAGCTTGAGTTCATTACGTCGTTTCTTGACTGTACGTGCCCTAGGAACCAGAGATAGAGTCAGCGAAATCAATAGGTAGTAGTCGGAAGACGATACTTCATTGTGACACTATGCTCCCTGAATAAGAGTTCAGATATACGCCCATTATTGGTAATCCCTCGTCGATGATAGTCTTCTAAAGCATCCTGCAACTTCTTATCATCCGCTTTCACTGGTGAATAGAGCACGTTAGATGGAATATCAAACACATTGCAAAAATGCAGAACATACAGACAGGTTCATATTGGTTCTTGCCCGTTGGATTCCGGTTATACGAAGGCATTAGCAATACAAGATAGACTATTACTTCATGAACCGGGCTTTTGTACCTACGCGGCGACTTATGACTCACACCAGTTGTGCGAGTTCTCACTACACTTCTGTGGACAGTGGTGGTTGATCTCGGTCATGTGGTAAAGAGGTTGCGATCATGAAGAACTCACATAGAGTGCTTCTAACCTCTACCGGGTGTCCAAGTTTTCATAAGTTTTCATGATAGTGGTCTAAATACACCAACTCACATCATAGTGGCGTCATGGGCACTCAATTGTTGGTGTCCAGTCCCCACCAACCGCTCAAGTTTCCGTAAGACCTTCCATGATCATGGTGGCTGTAGTCTCAATCAAGGATAGTGAAGTTTCATTCACGAGCACGCCACCTTGAAATGCCTACAGTCATGCAGATGATGTCAAACAAGATTTTTCATGTCCGACACAAGACAAGATAACGGACCTCTTGGCTAGCTCCACTTGCGAGCACTCGAACCGGCGTTCTGGGAGGAAGGCGTCAGGAAAGGGAAAGACGGACAAGTTGCAGTGCCTCAACCAGACCTGCGCCGATACGGCAGTTCCGGGAGGAAGCGCATAGCCCACAAGGTCAAAGATTTCATCATGGGGACCGTTCTTGGCCGTAGAGTTGGGAGCGGCGCGTTCAAGACTACGAGCGGTGGTGTGGGCTTGGTCTGGTCGAAGTTTTAGCCCTTCGCTTCCGGGTAATCGATGCATAGACTGGGCCAGATCTTCCTCAGTAAACACATTCGGATATGGTAGCTCTTGAAGGGTCAAGATATCTAGGATGGCTTGAGAGTCAGGCATGACCTCGCCAGTTTCAATTCAGAGCTTTCTGAGGACGTCGGGTCGTTGACTCAGCCCCCGGGAGAAATCAAGACCGTCCGACCAGTGTTGAACCTTGGACATTATCTCGTCTGCATTGTGCATCTATCATCATCGGATATTCGGAGAGCGACGCCCCATGTTAGGTCACCGTGAGCGTTCAGCATCCGGCCGTTGGCCGGCATCGGTGGCTAGGTGGTCAAGATAAACAAGAGAAAGGGATGTTGGTCACAAATGAGTAGTCACGGAGTCCCAAGCCCCCAGATACAAGCCATATGAGGCTAGTCGGTGACGAAAGTTAGACCGTGTCCCCCCATGCTTCCGTACTCCATCTATCTAACGCCACACGCGGAGACACGCTACGCCACTCTCCTTCTTCAGGACTGGACAACCAAGAGCTCCAATAACTAATACTTTAACGTACAGAGCCAACAAAACTCCATCCGATGACGAAATACGAACACCATGGTTGCAGGCTTTTCGGATGTACGGACGGTCGTGGTCTGTGTTTGCGCCCTTGATGTCATAGTGCAGAAACCACCTGCACCACTCTAGTCGCCCAAAAGCTCCATCTATCTAACGCCACACGCGGAGACACGCTACGCCACTCTCCTTCCTTCAGGACTGGACAACCAAGAGCTCCAATAATGGCTCCACAAGACGTAATTTGGCAGCCGCCGTATGGGCACGGACCAGTTGTATTATCCATGATTTACTTGTGCGGTAAGTAATTGAACCCTAGCCTATTGGATAAAGTACGCGAAGGATTCTTGTCTGCACTGTAACGACTGCATAGAATCCCACGAAACAGTGAATAGCCATCGGTATCTGTACACACATGGACATATGGTGTAGCTGGTTATCACGCCCGTATCAGATTGGGTGAAATTATAACAGTCTCTGCGGGAGGGGCTCGGTTCAACTCCGGGTGTGTCTCATCAACCAGTATAAGGATGCTTTTTTTTTTCAAGAAAAAAAATCACTTTTAATGTTTTTGGGTGGTACTGATGGCAGACCCTTACCCGCGCTCTTGTAAGCCCTGTTTATATATGCGTCCGTCTCATACGAATATGTCCGGACTTCGGAGTGCCTTAGCTTCGGAGCTGTATGTACACCTGATCCGTGATTGTTATGGACTCGAGTCTTGGTTAATCCCAATTACAAGTGCACGAACGATAATCGGATCTGACGACACGAGATTCTGGTATTGTACACATAGATTTGATCCCTTCTACTTCTAACTACATACACGGGACATCAGAAAGACTTGATGAACTACAATGGTCGCACTCAAGAAAGAAATGACGAACGCGTGACGGAGTTGGCTCAAGCGGCCTCTACCACAACCTTCTTCTGATGATCCCTAGCATACAACAAAGCATCATACTTCCTGGGATACATCATCTCTCTATGTTTCTTCCTCTCTTCTTCTGGTGCCCATTTCGGTAGATACTCCTCCAACTCTGGGTGGATGTCAATGATCTCCTTCCGAAGACTCTCTGCGTAACTTTCTTCCGATGCTCCGAGGACTGAGTATGCGAATAGGGCGGAAGGGTTGTTTGTCTCTTTGCGCCGTGTTTCGATGGCTTTGATGCGTTCTGTTTCGAATTCGAGGAGTTTGGATGGGGAGGAGGGGAGGAGGGGGATGGAGAGGGACCAGATGTATGTGAGCCAGAGGGAGGATATGTCGTTGACTGTAAAAGGCGTGAAGGACATTGGAGAACCTATGAATGCAAGGGTGGGGTTGTAGGCGTAGAGGATGTGGCGGTGGAGAGAGGGGACGCGGTGGCTTGTGTCTGGATGTGGGTTTTGGTCGACGAGCCGCGTGATGTGGGGTGTGGGGGATGTGGGGTCGAGGACGTGGATGAAGTCTGGGTGGGGTTTGTAGCCTGTAGCGATGTAGATGGTGTCTATGTCGGTGAGCGTTGTTCCATCTTGGAGATGGGCGGTTATCTTGTTATTGGATGGGGTGAGGGAGTATTGCGCGACGGGGGCGATAGAGCGTATCCGGGCGTCTGGGAGGCTGGGGAAGCCAGGGAAGGCGGGGCGTCGGATGGATTGGTAGACGGGAGTTTTGGCAATTGGAGCGAGGTGGGCGGCGATGTCGTTGCCTGAGTTGGCATTGCCTACCACTAATACTTGCTAGTGGATGGTGAATTTTTAATCACTGGGAATAATAAATAGCGTACCTTTCCTTCGTTGCCTTGTGGGCCTCTGTAAGAATTGGCGTGTGTTGCCAGTCCGTGTTCGCGCAAGATGTCTAATCCGGGAGTATTGGGCCATACCGGATGATCATACCACCCGACGGCCACAACGACCGCATCCCAGATCTCATCCACTTCTGTACCCTGGCCGTTGTTCCAATCCTTAGTTCGGACTTTCCACCCTTGCCCATCGGGCATCTCCTCGACACGGACAACCTCCATGTTCAGCTTTATTTTACCCTCGCAGATATATGGTTCCGCAAAGCTACGAAGAAACTCATATGTTTCGCCAAGTGTTGGGAAGGGCTGATGTGGATCAGCAAGCGCCGGGAACGGATAATGAGAGAAGGAGAGGTATTCTGGGAGAACATTGCCAATGAGGCCTGGGTACGATGGGGATGGCCATCTTGGGGTGATCGTCGATGACGTCGGGTTATCTAGATACCTGCGTCAAAGAATAAGCAGACGCCCTGTTGTTGTTGGAAAATAGAAAACATACCAAACACCACCAACGTCATCTCGTCGTTCGTACAGCGCTACAGTCTCAAAGCAACCATATTTTGCGAGATTGCGGTAGGAGACGAGGCCAGAAGGGCCAGCGCCGATGACGAGGGCTGATTTCGGGGGGAGAACCATGGTTAGATCGATGAACGCTGGGCGCTGGGTTTTCAAGTTGAGTAATAGTTGAGTAATAGTCAATCAGATTGCGTCTTGTCACATTTAATTACTTGCTTTACGCTCTTGCCCTCTCGCCCGGGCCCACCACGACGGAATGCATATATATACCGCCATCTACTGTGTTCTTGCTCAGAAAACACATCCTCTGCCATGCCCTCAGAACCGATAGAAGCTGAATCCGCATACCCACCCGTGCTCACTCAAGTACAGGAAGAGGAGTACTGACAACTAGAGCAAGGACCTCTTGATGGATAAACAACACCCACAACCACCGTTGGCTCGTGAAACAACTTGACTAAGGTCGAACAAGCACATAAACACGAGGGCTACATCATCGTGCAATTCGACAAAGGCGCAAACGAGGACCCAAGAGAACGGTCTCACAAATGCAAATGGTATTTTTCTCTTCTTCCTCTTCTTTACGACGCGTCAGACTGAGAATATGTATGAATAAAAAAAAATAACCAACAGGTTGGTCACACTAGGAACCGCATTCCTCTGTCTCGCAGTCGTGTTGGGCATTTCCATTATCACTGGCGAGTACGTCCCTCCCTCCACCCCCACATCTAAAAATATCATTTATTGATCCTTGTGGACTATAATATCACAGGCCCTGCAAAAGAATTCGGAACAAAACAGATTGTCGCGAACCTGACTGTAACATGCTTTGTTATCGGTTTTGGTATCTATCCTCTGCTCCCCTTTCCCCTTGCAGAGGTTTTCGGCCGGAGGCCCATATGCATTGTTAGCATCTTGTATTTTGTTTTCATGCTCCCTAGTGTGCTCGCATGTAATGCTGCTATGCTTATTGTTGCGGGGCAGATTGCTGGTATTACTGCTGGCAAGTACCGCACTCTTGAGGAGTTGGAGCGGCCACCGTTTGTCCAGTTGGTGAAGACTGCATTGTTTAGGCCCTTGAGGGTGTTGTTCACGGCGCTGATTGTTTTGTTTATGTCTTTTTGTGGGTACCCGTCATTTTATTTTGCGCTTACTTGTCGTACTGATGCTTTGTGTAGATCTGAGCTTTGTATATGGGTTGTTGTACCTCATGCTTTTCGCGTTCCCGATTGCGTTCCAAGGGATTAGGGGATTCAGTGGGGGTATCACAGCCACCACTCTCGTTAGCATTATGGTACGTTACAATCCATTCCTCACGCATACAAAGTATTGATCAACACGGATATATGGATCGGTATCCTCCTCATTGGTCTCGTCATACCTAAACAAGAAAAAGCCTACGCTGAATCCACAAAATACGGTCACCACCCTGAAATACGTCTCTTCCTGGTGATGATAACCGGAGCCTTGTAAGCCCTTCCCAGCTGTCCCCCACACAACCTCAACTCTAACAACCCCCTCCCCCCTAACATCATAATGCCCATCGGGCTCTTCCCCTTCGCATTCACAGGTGCCACCCCATGGGTACACTGGATCCTACCCTGCATCAGAACCATTTTCGGATTTAGCATGATCCTCTTATACGTCTCTGCCAACTCATACATCATCGATTCATATTCGAATTATGGTGCGAGTACGATGGCTGTGAAGACGTTTATGAGGTCGGAGTGTTGTGCCTCTAGTTTGTGGATCCGATGTTTCGTGGGATGGGTGGACTTCAGTGTGCGGGGGTTGATGTTAGCGGGTGATGGATGTTTGATTGGGTTGATGCCTTTTTGTATTTTGTTGGTGTGGGGAGAGGGTTAGGTTGAGGAGTGGGTTGGCGAGTAGGGGTGTGAGAAGGAGGGAGGATGTGGAGAAGGTGTGTCACTAAGGTTTTTGTTTATTGGTCTGTTATGAATGTATTGCGTGTTGTACCTTTTTATTATTAGTTGTTATTATATAGGACTAGTTAATCTATTTGCTCTGCTTGGGTGCTGCTTTATCATGGCACCATAGCTCGTCTGCCACCAAGCGGGAAAAAGTATATGTTCAAAAATATTCATCTGTTCGATTGTACGTACTGGTGGTTCCTGAAGAGCGGTTGCACGCACCATGAATTAAGTATATATATTTATGTGTGTATGGTGTATAAGTTGTTTGTTGTGCCTGCCTGGCATACCCGTCGTCTACCGCGTATGTCTGCTGGAGGTGTGGTGTTCAATTCCGGATGTGTCCGGCCCGGTATCATAAAATTTGTTGTCATTGACAAGGGTCGTTATGTCATTGCGGTGAGCGTTATGTTGGGTTTAGGAGAGGGTGTTGCGATAATAGATGGGGATTTCGGTGGACTTGATAGACATACATATATCCGTGACACCATTGATCGTATATTCAGATTTCACTGGCACAAAAGAGATACATAGGATCACAAGTACTCAATCCACACAATTGCCCTACGCTCAACACCCAATCGAACACGTCGCCCATTCCAGGTCTTCCTCCTTCAAACCACCATATTCCAAGAGTTCCTTCTTAGCTTCCCGGTCCGACTCCCGTTCTCGCACTAGTCCGGGTGACATGTCGTCATTCCGGATCACACGAGCAAGTAGAAAAACGACATCTCCTTTATGGTCGAAGGGTATAATGTCGCAGATCAGCCTGGGGTACATGTCATGCCGCCTAAGGAGGTGGTAGAGAAGAGGACCCATGTCAGTTTCGTCTCCAAAGTATTCGTTGTGCTTGGTTAACCAGGCGCAAAGCTGAGGACAGTGGATGACATAGCCAGCAAATACACCCATTGTTGGGACTGAAGAACGCATGAGATCGTGCCTGGTATTGTAAGTGTGAGCCGCTCACAAATATTCTTTGAGATGAAGCGCAGATACAAAGTGCTGAAGACAGTGAAGGAATAGCGAAAAGATGTATATATATGGGATGAGACAGCGTGTTTATGTAACTGTTGCAGTTCAGTGCATCTGAATAACATATAAACTACCCAAGCTGGTTCGCTAATCTCATCTGTCTATGGTCGGCGCCTCCGTTGATGGGTGGCTGTGATATTTTTATGGGCACATGGTGTAGTTGGTTCCGCTTAGCATTGTCACTTTGCTTGCGGGCGGTGCCCGGTTCAATTCCGGGTGTGTCCATAAACCATCCAAATTATTCCCTTTCCGCACTGAAGTGGACCATATTGTTGTAGTGTGGTCGGGGAGCTGCGACAAATCTTTAAAGCTTTTGCGACCAGACAGAGTAGTCTCATCTATCCGGCCGCTGGCCATAAGCCAGCAATTTAGATAGGGCATGTTTCCATCATCACTTTGGGGGGTTGTCCTGGGACGCCCAGCTGCAGCGTGAGGTGTGGTGTAGCTTGTAGTGCCACTGTTGGGAATTGGTTGTTCTCAATGGTTATAGTATGTTGTGTTTCTGTGTGTTCGCTTATCGGTCCCTGTGGGTGCGAAACCCGATGTATCACTGGTTGGGATATCAATTGTTACTCTCTATGAGCGCGTGAGTTTCCCTTATTGTGCCGTGTACTTGGCATCTGGCAGGAACTGCCACTACCGACATGGTGACTGACTTTCCCAAGGTACGATGTTGCAGGCGCAATTGTTCTCCATCTGGATAGGAATTCAGTCAAGTGACAATGAGATTAGCTAGCCTTAGGCAGTTATATGTTATAATACTCATCGGACACATACTACATGCCCTATTGATCAAAATAAAACTATCTCCCAGACCTACCAGGCTTTGCGAGACAGTTGCTTCCAACGGCATTATTAATAGAAACTTCTTATCGAAACTTCTTTTCCAAGAATCATATAGCAAATGATGACCTACTTGTACAGCGCATAAGTACTTGTCCCACCACACCACCGTGGACGTTGACTACCCAATGGACGTAGACACACCCCACCCAACCC